TCTACCTTAGATTCACTCTTGTGAAAGAATGCTTTTAAGAGAAAGTACAAGAAGTATTCTGATAAAGCACTCGGTAATGTCCCTGCTGAGAAACCATGTAGAATGCTAAACGGCTTCTTGGACTGAAGAAGATTTAAAAAAAAAAAATTACAGTCAACAAATCTGCTAAATGTGATAACGGCATAGGCAAAATGTTTTTACTACGTCGCTTGCATAACTTGACTGATAAATCAGCAACAACAGCAGCTCCTCTTATCTGTTTTTAAGAGTCTGATGAATTATATGCGCCTGAAAGCCGAGAGTTTAAGATAAAAGCTGAAGGCAGAACAAAAATGTGTGGTTGATTAAAGTCAGGCATCCTTTCAAGGAGAGTTAAAAGGTGAAGAAGAACCAACAAAAGAGTAATAGTTGTACTTTGAAGCTTCCTTACATTTACTGGCGTTGTGCTTTTAACCAAAATCAATAGTATCCCTTTTAATGTGTGTTGTAGTAATCAGCAGAAGCTGTTTGCTTGTACTTGTGTGTGAGTTTATGTCCTTGCAATTAAGCTGCTCCAAAGGAGTCTAAGAGAAAATTCTCGAGAAACTGAATTTTTGTCAAAAGGAAATTGAAATGAGTCGTTTTTATGCATCACCGGATGTCTGACCACGTCTGCTGCTATAGCGACTATCTCCAGAACTAAAAACCTTATTCTTGCAGGTTAGTTTATTTTACAAGTTACCAGAAGCGTGTGTTAGTCCATAGGATGGATGTTCTCTATATGACGGAGAATCAAAGCTGTATGAGGGAGGAATGAGACTAGAGATCGTAAAGAAAGTTGTATTTCTTTTAGCAGACTAAAAAATACCAGAAGATTTTATATATGCCCCTTATTTATATTAATGTATCTTTTTATTCTTTAGTATATTGCATAAATATTTTGGGGTTTATTTGTTCAGTTCAAGGTTTTGAACCAAAGCTTCTTCCTTCACCATTAACAATGTGCGCATCCTTTGGAATCCTTATCTGCATGACTCAAATCCATCTGAAAGAACAGGATGCTCTATTTGAAAAGGCATAATTCAGATTTTTGTGATGCTCCATTGACTGTTGAAGAAACTGTCAGTCTTATTCTGACAAGAGCATTATGCTTTTGACCTATACTCATTTTTTTGTTTAAAGTTAAAGTCTTTATTTGTGAATGCTTTCTCTTTATCAGGTATTTACTTTATTTTCTTCACTGCTGCCTTGTTTTCTCTGTAGTTCCCATTTGCTCCTGACATATAACCTGCTAAATAGACCGATTGGTTTAACAGTCTCTCAGCTTTTTATGCACCGTCTCCTGGATTCTGCTATTGCCTTCGCCCGTTTGCTTTTTGTGCTCCACATTTCTCGTAAGCTTCCCTAGTTTCCTTTAAATAAAAACCTCTACTCATCCCTTTCCCTTCTTCATTTATGTCCCAAACAGCTTGCAAACTAACGGTGTTTTTAAGTCCTGCAAGATTTCTGAATTCATGCTTTAGAGCAGTGCTTGTTGGCTGAGTAGAGAAGTAGGAGGAAGTTTTTCATACATTTATTTTTAATAAAATTTTAATAATCCAATTTTGTTCTTGAATCTAGAGGTCATAATCTGTTTGGTTTCACTTTATTGTTTTAAGCTAGTTTTTAGCTAGTTGTTAGACTGAGGGTGGCGTCAGTGTACAGCAGCCTCGCCTCTGTCAGTGAGCCCCAGGGCAGCTGTGGCTACAATGTAGTTTGCCACCATCAGTGTGTGAGTTTGTGTGCATGAATGGATGAATGACTGAATGCAGTGTAAAGCGCTCTGGTCAAGTCCTCTGATTATATAAGCAGAGGCCATTTACCGTTTAGCTTAAATTACAGTTAACTGAAGTGCAGGTATAAAGGTCCTAAAAAAGAGAAGAAGCTTAAAATCTTGTTTTATAAATAATTCACTGTGCAAATAATTTCAACCCTTTCTTATTTTTTATGAGCTGCTAAGTGAAGAAGTGTATAGCGCTGCTGCCTTGCAGCAAGAAGGTTCTGGGTCCGATTCCTGGTCTGGGGTCTTTCTGCATTGAGTTTGCATGTTCTCCCTGAGCATGCATGTGTTCTCTCCAGGTACTCCGGCTTCCTCCCACAGTCCTTAAAAAACTCTCCTTAGGTGTGTGTGTGTGTGTAAATGGTTCGTTTGTCTCTGTGTTTCCCTGCGATGGACCGGCAACCTGTCCAGGGTGGACCCTGCCTCTTGCCCGTAAACAGCTGGAGATTGGCACCAGCAGCCCTTGTGACCCCACTTGGGATAAGCGTGACAGAAAATGGATGGATGTTAATTTTACCCTTTGTTGTGATGAATTTCTACTGTTTTAGACAACTGCAAGACTGAAAACAATAAACAAGCCACATATTCTATTAAATTCAGGGGATTGGAAATATCACCATTTAGAACAGAAAGTCTGCACTTGTACAGCGTTTTGAAACACATAAATTAACATCTGGTTTAGGAAATATAAAATGTGTTAAATAATGTCTTTCATAAGGCCTCATTAGTATTTATAAGTTCTGTTAATTAATAAGGGAACCATTGTCGCCACTTTCTGCAATCATATCTACTCAGGCATATAGGTAATGTACCTCAATGGACTTGCTGCTACAATAAAACGAAATCTATGTAAGAAAGAAATGAAGCCCACATCATAATAAAACTGCTGATCTCACACTGAGAATAATGCACGGCGGTACTGCTATGACATTAAGGCATCATCATCTTGGCATATTAAGCATATTCTACTGGAAAAAAAAGCTGCTAATATGTCATTAACAGACATTAGCAACATGACATTGACTGCAGATGGGAATAAAATGACAAGGCAATTATATGTTAGGGTGCAGATGAGTCAATGGGAACAAGCATAGAGGAGTCAAACATTTTGTCAGGATTTCAAAGGATAATTCCTCCAAAAATGTGAAAAGGTGAGAGGTCTATTTGCATGATCTGACACCAGACATGCAAATACAGGAGCATCTCAGCAAATTAGAATGTCATCCAAAAGTTAATCTGCTTCAGCGATATAAATTAAAAAGTGAATGTCATATCTGATGGTGATTTAATACACAGCCATTTATTTCAGTTAATTGTTTCTTGCAACGATGATGAAAACAGTTTATTCCCTGACAAAACAACAAAGATGAATATTACAACTTAAATAAAATAAAAGAAGGATTCTGATCAAGAAAGGTGGTCCTGCTAAACAACTTGTTTATTAACTGGTAGTAATGTGATGGGGCCTATTATTTTTCGGAGGCGATCAGACTGTGGGCCTGGTTGCTTTTTGAACAGCAGATAACATGGCAGCTATAATCCACACCGACTATTGCTTAGATGCTGCTTGGAGTCCAAACAGCTGGGATATTTAGCAGACAGATCTGCTGGAACAATCAGATGACATTTTTGTTTTTAACCTGACATGTCTATGATATATTCATTTTGTTAGAAAGAACAAATTTAATTTTTCTATTAGTTGTAAGTCATAATTATGGGTCATGAGTTATTGATCAACAAGCATGGGGTTATGAGATCTACTGCAGAAAAAAAAAAAAAAAGATTAATGATGAAGTGATTAAATATATAAGAACTCACTTAAAATTGGAAACAAACCTGACTGCTTTGTTTTTTTTATGCTGTTTGTAAATTATTAAATCTGAGTTTAATTGATTGTTGGGGTAACACTTTACAAAAAACATCATGAACATTATTTATAAAAGGCAAAGAGACAATTTATTATCATCTGATAATCATTCATAAACTGCATTTAAACCATTTCTAAAAGGTAAATAGATCAGATTGCCGTGCCGTGTTAGTTCATCCCTAACATCAGCAGACTTAAGATCTAAACCTAGCCTTTATTTTTAATTTAACTTGTCCTCTTGTGTCGGACTTTCGTTATCGTAACATCAGTCATCTTAAAACCTTCATAAATGATCTATTTACACTTTATAAATGGTTCAGATTCAGTTTATAAATGAATCAAACATTAATAAATGTTTGATTTCTATTTGCACAGTTTTATATTGTTTAAACACTTTGCAGTAAAGTATTTTATTGTTCATCTTTAACTCTTCACTATTATGTTATTCTTTAACATTTTTCTAATGTCAACATAAGTGTATAATCTTATTTTTTAATAATTTGTTTGCTGCTGTAAACACTAGATTTGGGAAAATAAAGGGATTTTCTATTCTATTCTATTCTATTCTATTCTATTCTATTCTGTTCTAATAAGCTGTTTAAGGTGGGTATACTCAACCAACGGTTTGGGTCAAGAGTCGAGTCTGGAACCATTTTGTCGGTCAGAAGCTAAAAAGTTAGGAGGACTTCTAATATGGATGACAACACACAATTATTTATTTTCACTGAAGACTTTGTCGTAACTCATGTAAACTTAATATGCTGCAAAGGGATTTCTCACAGAGGAGTTTAGCTGGGAGATTTTAATGCCTCCTCTCTGTTTCAGGCTGCAGTGGAGATGCTAAAGACCTGACGGTACTGTTAGACAGTAATAGATAATATCAGACAGAGATAACCTTAGTTATAATTTATCTATACAATTTCTTTCTCAATTATTAAGGACAAATGCTCTCTAAACCAACACAGCTCTGCTGACCCTCATGTCGTAATGTAAAAGAAATCACATAGGCAGATTAGTTTTTATAAATTTTTCAATAAATAAATGCAGTTATAGATATGAAGTGTCTTTTGTATCTAATCAGGTCACATTTAATTTACTGTATGCTTAACTTATACATTGATCTGAACATTTACTGCATGTTAGTGAGATGACAAACACTTTTATTTTATCGCATTCTAACTTGCGTGGATGCACCTGTTATCATAAGTCGGGTTTTTCGGATGGAAATGTTTCATCAAGTTGCATGCAGTGAGCGTGGAAACCCTGCATGAGGCTGAGGTCATTCGGCGATGCTCGTTTCAGACGGCGATGGAAGACAAATGAAGGAGCACCTACTTAGTCTGTGAGGAGAGTATTTACTTAAGTCAGGCTTGTGGGGCATCTCATACGACGGCTGGTGGTGGCTCAGATTCTGGAAGGATCTGGAGAGGGACAGGTCATAGGGTTCGGTTGCTGACGTCAGGATGTTGTTCATCCTCTGGGGCCTATCTGCAGGGAACAAGGGAAGAAGTGGTGCACTGCATTCAGTCAAAGAGGATGAGAAATATATAAAAAAAAAGAGTATTTAGTTGAGAGATTGGGAGGGAGAGGGATGCAGCAGGAATTGTCCCGTAATGCAGGTTAATCAGGTGACATTTGGGACCGAGCTCCATGTTTTAACAGAAAAAATGTATTGTGCAATAACCTGGTTTAGAAAAAGAAAACAGTTTATTTAATACAGGCCTTGCTCTAAAATGACTGGCTTATTCTGAAGCTGGCATTTTAAATATCAGTTTGTTAATTAAGTTTAAAATGGATCTAAAGTATAATCCATGTGTTGAATGGAATCAAACAATTGTACATTAGACTATTTTTTATGTTAGCTTTGCTCAGCTCCATTTAAACCTGTAGTAACAGCAGTAGTAGACATTTATTTCTACTGTAGTATGGATCGGTATCGCTGTGACTTGCTTGGGGGTTTGCCACAAATAATAATCTGTTTAGAGCGATCAGATAAAATACGTACATCTGTCAAAATTTAGACCAGTCAAGAACCTCTTTATGTCTTTTCCTGGGGCTGACTGAGTTGCTGTCAGGTGAATATTGGCGTCCTGTTTTTGTTTGACCCATTAAGGTTCCTTCTGTGATTGAATTGATCACAACAACACCCAGGAGGCGTTTACTCAAAATCCAAACTCCAAACAAGACTGCAGGAACCCAGGCTGTGTAAGAACAGGAAGGCATCAGGAATTACACAAGCACCATCCTGTTTTTAGTGATTTAAAACTAATTTCTCAAAAAGTAAAACAGTAATCTAAACACCATATCATATTCTCCTAAAGGAGGTTTAAGATTAACATTTCGAAACCCAAATAATCTTTTTTTAAATCATCCAGTATTAGGGAATGAATATTATGATTCAAGTTGAATACGTCTACTTTTTTAAAATGGAAATTAAAGGAGTTTAATTTTAGTTTATTAGTTGACAAAGACACCACAATAAATTGCTAAACAGGGTTTTTTTTTCACCTTAAAAGTGACTATTATTTTTTTACAGAACCAAAAAATGAAAAGGTTGCAGGTAAAACCAAAAAAGATGAGCCTCCTTAAAAGAACAACCTGCCCACAATAAGACATGGTGTTGGCAGCATCATGCCCTGCAGTCCATTCTTCCATAAAACTAGCTTATTATCTTTAAGAATACTTCAATTATGATCTATTGTTATTATTTTGAACTCAAGAATTTGACAAAGCAAAAACATAATGAGAGGTTTCATTTTTGTGAGGGCAGTGAGTTCAGATCGACAGAAGAGAGGCAACAGAAAATACCTAAATTACATCTGACAGTCTGTGGAGTTTTATTTTAAAAAGAGAGTGGATAAGAGAAGTACTCACAAAGTCATAAAGCTTCACTTAAAAATAAACAATCTGGAAGACTCTTATCAGCCTCGCCTGATACACGGAAGGTATATTTGTGTTTATTTCCATTATGTTACAGTTTAAGATTTACTTTTGTTTGAAATTTTATATAAAAAAAAAAAACATTCTGTTCAACAAATCTATTTTTCCTCTGTTAGAAAAATCCTGTCAAGGGACATGAAACCTATAATTAGGTATTTGATGTTACACTGATGTAGTCTACCTATTTTGAAGCTAATGTTGTCTTGACAAATTTTGCTCAGCAAATCTGCTCTGGCACATGTATGCAACCAGCTTCTATGTACAGCATTCCTAAAAAACCAAAAACTACAAATAAAATGAAATAAAAAAACAAACAAAAAAACATTGAGATAATAGGGTTATTGTTAAAAAAAGAAGCTGGTTAGCCTGCTACTAAAATGGTTTACAAAGAACTGAGAACATATACACTGTAGAAAATTTAGTCTGGTAATGCTCTGAGCTTTGAAGACACCTTGTTTTGGTATAAAATCTGACCAATGTCTAGTTTTATATGCCCACTAAACTTTTGCCTTTTCTTCTTTGTGACAAACTTCAAGTTGAAATAACTAAAACAAAGAAAAACTATTTTAAGGGGGTAAAACAATACATAATTTATGCAAAAGGCTTGTTGAACAGCCATGACAAAGCATTTGGGCTATTCTAAACAGAACAGAAAAAAGTGTCCAAAGGACAAACTTTTCTGCCCCAACACTCAAAGATTTCTACATTTATTTCACATTAGTGGAAGAAAAAATATTGAGAATCTCTAATATTAAAAGTCATAAATGTGCAAAAAAACAACAGACGGAAATCTTATTACATGATTAAAGATATACAATGAAGGTTATTTAAACCAAGATATTCCTAACATTTGATAAATGCATGAAAAAAACCCTCTCTAGTTTTCTAAGATTATAAAGTCAGATATTTTTTTACAAAAACACAACAAAAAAAAAAAAGGGTCTAAGGCTGAGTAAAGTGGGCAGATAAGCATCTAAACATTTTCCTCTGGGCTATTTTTCTGTATCAAGACAAAACATCATGGGTGCCTACTCCATGCTTTACTTGGAAATGTTTTGTTTATGCAAATGTATCACCATAAAATGTCAGACCTTATCTTGGTTTTTAAAAAGAGTATAAATACTCTTTTGCATGCATATATGTATGTATTTTATTACGGAAAATTATAGTATTTGAGCAAATTTACAACTTTTTTTCATCAGAGAACATAGTATGTTCTTCTTGCAAATATACAAAATTAGTCAGAAATGTATTTGTTTCCAGCAAGATTGTTTTCTTTATTTCCATTGGCCAACTGGACATACAGTGGTTCCAAAAAGTATTTAGTCAGCCACTGATTGTGCAAGTTCTCCTACTTTGAATAATGAGAGAGGCCTGTAATTTTCATCATAGGTACACTTCAACTATGAGAGACAAAATTTGTCAATTCTCTAAAAATCATACAATGTGATTTCCTGGATTTTCTTGTCCTCATTTTGTCTCTCATAGTTGAAGCATACCTATAATGAAAATTACAGGCCTCTCTAATTATTCAAAGTAGGAGAACTTGCACAATCAGTGACTGACTAAATACTTTTTGGCCTCACTATAAGTGTGAACATCCTTAAATACTTCTATACTTCTCTGTCTTCTTGAATCCATATCTACCATTAATAATAATGACTCTGATAAACCTTTAATTAAGTTCAGCTTTCCAGGTAACACATTGGCTTATTTTAGGTGTATACTTTATGATTGATGAAACCACTCTGAAAATTTGAGGTAAAAACAGGGATGTTTGTTGAAAACACAGCAATCCACAACACAATACATACTAACAATTAATCAAAACATACCAACAATGAAACATGGTGGTGGCAGAATCATGGTCTGGGGTTCGATTTCTTCAGATGGAACAAGAGTGTAAACTGTTTCAAACATTTTGACCCCAAATCTAAAAGCTTAATATATATTTTTCCATCACCTGAGGTCCATTTCACAAACAGGTTTAACAAAGTCAAAACTAAATGCTCAACTCTGGATTGATCTAGCATAAGGTTGGAAACTCTGAGTTTTCGGTTTCACAATGGCTGCAATGAGTTAGTTTAATCAACTGAATACGTTCATTTAGAGTTGAACACGGGCAAAACCAGTATGAAAAACCATTATCAGTGGAGAACCGGTGACCATGATGACAGGCAACAGGAAGGGACAATTTCACACCACTGGAAACTGAGATTTTAATGTAGAAAGGAAAAAAAATGAGAATGTGTTAATTATGGCAGGCCATTTTGACATTTATGAAAAGCACTCTCCTCTCTTTTGTTCCAGTTGTAGATCACTAAAATAAGATTTCAACTGGTTAAAATGACATTCGTCATCGGAACTGTAGTAACAGTTTTTCTAAATGAAACCGAATTTTAAAAAGTAAAAAAATGAAACAAAATTATACTAGTAACAATTAAGTTTTATGTACCTAGAAATGTTTATATATTTTTAGTGATGATTTAAGTGTTTTGACATTTATCAGCTTGACTAAATACTTATTTATAATATCTGAAATACATTTCTTCATAGTTGAAATAATGAAAATGCTGACCAGTAATAATAGGAATATGAAAAATCTGAAATTCATTTCTAGACATCAAGAATGTTTATTTTAGATAACAAGAATGTCATTTTGTTTGAATTTGTTAATTTGAACCGGGAATGTATTTCAGATATCAAAATTATATATTCTGAAAAACTAATAAATATCATAACGGCCTGCCATATTCTGTCGTAATCTAAACTAGTAAAACTAGTTTACTGCTTAAATGTATTCTATTAAGTTGAAGTCACATGGCAGCAGGTGAAGATAGAATCTAAAAATGTTGTCCAAACAGGGAGGGCCTGTGCATCATCTCATGGGGTTCCTCCTCATTTTGATTCTGTCTTCCATTACACAGTAAATACTGAGTGGCGGTTTGACTGTTCAGTTTTTCCTATAATGCTGTTAGAAAACAAATAAATGTGTTCTTATCTATATCAAGTTCTGGTAAATATTTTATGAAAAAGTCTATGTAATGCTAAAGATCTGAGGATGGGTAAGGTTGTGTATGTGATGGATTGTGATCTGAAACAGTAGCGCTCATAGTTCTAGTGCTCTAGATAACTTTTTTATTTGAAAGGAAATCTAGATGTGGTCTAAAAAACCTCTCTTTATAAACATTTAATTTTCTGTGAATTAATGCTGCTCATCCTTTAATTGAATCCCCCGTACAAAGGACATGCTATGCTTGTTTTTTTAACACCTAAGATGTCAAATGGACCAAGAGACTGATTCTCTTTTTATTGTACGCACAAACTTCTAGAAAAGTCTCTTGACTCAATTGGGAAAAAATGTGATTGGCTTTAATTTGACAATGTGGAGACAGAGGACACTGAGTTTATTGAAGAAAACCTGCTCCTGACCAGGTTAGATCTTGGGAGAATGTTGCTATGGTAACAGACACAGATGTTGAGTAAACTCTCTCTGTGAAATGGAAAACTCAGATGTTCCCTGATTGCAGGGTAAGAAAACTTAGCTCAGGAAACCTGCTTTGTGGAATGTGCCTCAGTGAGTCAAACCTTGCATCCTAATAAATATAAAACAATGTGTTCAGTTGAAGAAAATTTGAGTTTTGTAAGGGTTTTTGTAACGGCGTAAGACCATGGAGGAGACAACATGGGAAACGTCGATTGCTGGTTTATCTGAGTACACCTAGTCTGCTTTTAAGTAATTGTGCTTTAACTGTTTTGATGACTCTTGCAGAATGAATTTCAAATTATAGGGCGTAATGTTTCTTATATTATTCTTTTTTTTCCTATGTCCCATATTCTTTTTCAGAGCAACTGCAACTAAAAACATTTAGAGAAGATTCCAATACATTCTCATCGAGGATATCTTTTAAAACATGTTAATTTTGTTGGAACTTAAAAGGTCAATGATAATCAGAATCAGAAGTACTTTTTTAAACCCCTGCAGGAAATTCTTCTTCTTTGCAGTCTAACTGTTTACACAAGAGAGAAAAATAAGATTGTAAGTACAAATAAGATATGGGAATAAAATTAGATAAGGATAAGAATAAAAAAAGGATTTATTTCTTCCATTAATGATTAATATTTTTAGACTGAAAGAACCACGTGTCAATGAAAAGGCTTTGACAATGCGACCTGATTAATCAACTTTTAGATCTTTTTTTTTATGTTTGTGTAAATTTTTTGTCATTCGCTTCATGTTAACCATAAAACAGGCTTAAGGCAACCAGACTTTTACCACGTTTTTCTGAGGACGTTTGGACACATAAATTCTGTCGGCTCGTTCTAAAGCTATCTTTAATTGAAGCGTCAATGTTTATTATCATCGTAGAGGCCAATCTTCCTACAGTGAGCACATTCCACGTTAGATGTATATAAAAGACCCAACCGCTGTTCTCCTGGGTTGTCGGAGTTTTTAGCTGAGTAGTAAGTATGTGTCTGGCAATTTGAAACAAGATGGCTTCCTTCAAATAATCTATTTTACGCTAGTATAAGCCACCAGAGTTCAAAAAGACTCCTGGATAGGTGTCACATTTTCAGAAAAACTGAGCAACAATCCAGTTGTGCCCTATTAAAGCCTTTTTTTTGTGGTTGGTTGTATTTCAGAAATTTGCATTTCATTGTTGTTAGAAAAATTAAACATTTTCAGTTTATAAAGCAGCTGAACTCTCTTTTAAATCAGTTATAACTTTGCTAAAACTGATGGATGAAGCTACATAACCAAACTACTCGAAACAGCTCAAGCAACAGATTAGTGAACACCTTGAGTGGTTCAGTTCAGAAAATCTTTTCATGACACCATTATAGCTCTGTGTGCTGCGCAGAGCTCCTGCAGCTTTAGTATTTGGGACGACTAGTCATGGGTCAGGAGGCGCAGTGGGTGGGAAGGACAGGGAACCGATTTTATAAATAGGGCTGGGCCGCCACTGCAGCAAACACGGCAGAGATGCACCGCATTAAAGAACATATGGTGCAGAGGGGAGACACTCAGAGGAGGAAATCGTGTGTGGGGGTTGTAGGGAAGATAGAGCCAGCAGGGAGGAGTGAAACAGGGAAAATGAACAGATTTTGTGATTGGACTAAAGGTCATGTATTGAAATGCAGCAACTTGACATTTTGTGACTGCAAAGAATAAACAAGCACTCAAAAAATTGAAATGAGAACAAAATGATTCCCAATGTGCAGGAAACTAATTCTAATCTGTACTGCTTATGACACATGTTGAAACAAAAAGTGATAAAAAAAAATACACATAAACACTATGTGTATCACTTACCGTATCCCATGTGTCTGTGGGCTAACAAGGCCAAGTGAGAAAGAGAGGACCATTAACAATAAATGCTTCAACATATGCTTCCAAACAAGAGGTTACCCTTGGAAAAAAGCAAGACTGGTGCTAAGGGTTAACACAAGGGCAAAAAGAGCAAAATCTGAATTATGCATCGAGGCCATGTGCCTCGTTAGAAGCTAAACAGACTTCTAAAGTGCTGTTTGAAGAGTTTCAAAGTACTTTTGAAACCCATTTTCCCGTTGTGTTTAAGTGGCAGACAAGCACATGCAGGATGTGCACTGCAGTGCTCCATTTGTTCATGGATTCAATGACGATCTCTTAGCTTTAACCTCCAAAACATAGCGGGAAAAAATTATTCAAGAATTCCCTCTTAAAACACATTTATGGCATTTCATTTTTAATTTTTTTTTTTTGGTCACTGGGATGCCGGAGAAGTCAGTTTAGTTTCATGTTGCAAGATCAACTTTCACATGAAATGGCATTTGGAGAAATATATTTGGAGAAATAAATTTGAAGCAGTAATTGGGTTTTAAGCTGAACATTTTTATGTCTCTCGGGGAGGAAAAGAAAACACATGAAACGCATTGATAAGGCCACCATTTGGACCTCTGGGAAAACAACTTTGGGTAAATCAAGACAACCAGTTCTAAAAAAGCAGATTTTTGCAGCATAGTGGATTCAGCATCACCTGTGCAGGGTCACAACACTGTGTTTACTCACCCAGTTTCGGTGTGAGTGCCGTCAGATCCAGGTGGCTGTGTTGGTAGTCATGGTGGTGGTTTCCTATTATTAGAAGAAAAGAGAAAACAAACTCAATCAAACATGGCAGACGGGCAGAAAATCTGGTGCTGCTCCCTTTTCCCACTCTATATTTATTCACAGTAATATAAATCTCTCCCAGAGTATGAAAATGAATCAAACGAAATACACATTTTTATATTATTTTGATGAAGGAATAGCATTATAACTTAGTTAATACATAGAAATAGAATTTTCATGACAAAAAATACTTAAATGTTCTGAGAAATTTGATTTGTGGTTTCCATTAGCTATAATCCAGTATCATTTATATGGACCACAAAAGAAGCTTCTTTTGTGAATTTAATTACTAAAATTGACAGACTTTTTAAAACTTTCAACCTTCCATAGATGCATGAGAAAACAGCACATTTGAGGCAAGACACCAAGGCTCAGCATTACTGCATGTACACACATGAAAGTAACTGAGAAAAATCTCTGCCCTACTACATAAATAAAAAAACAAACAACCCTCAGTTTTATATTTCAGTCCATTTCTAATTGAAATCTTTGTTTTCTTTTCATGCAATAAACTGTTGTTCCTTAAAAAGCTGCTTTAGGGAAATGATTGATCATTGCCTGTTTAACAGGAACACATGCACAGCTTTAGCTCACTGTGATCCATTGTAGCTCAGAGTCATTTGCTTTTGCTGTCATATTGGTGTATTCATTCTTATTGGCTGAAGACCAACACGTCTGACCTGCACAGGGATTAACATACTCTCCAGTGTAAATACTAAGGCTGCTTTTGCTAAGCACAATACAAAGCATGTGAGAGTTGTTGTATTCAACAATGTTCATTTCTCACCCGGTGAAAGCAGAAACATAAAAGAAAGTGCGCTCTAAATGCCCCGGAGAGCTTTGGGTGAGCTGTTTAAAAAGCTTTGAAATGATGACAAGGGGCCGAGTTCTGCTTTAGTTAAAGATCAGTGTTTGTGTGTCACCAGGCTTATTTTCCTCTGGGTGCTTGTGACATTTCCCACAAATGTTGTGTGTGGCTCAGATCCAGATGTAAATACGGTGCTAAAATGTGAATGCTTCCATGATTAACAAATTTGAAGGAGCCACATTGGATGAACAAACAAACAGTTTCGGTTTGTTCTCCCTGCACATGAACGCTGCCCTCTAATTACAAATATTGGATCTTGGTACCAATTAGAGCTTTTGTATTGCAACAGCACAAAAAGTAATGAAACCCGAGATACATTCAGCTCTTTAGGATTAACCACAGTGACAAACACAGCACTTCTGTTTGGGAAAACTTCTGTTTGTATTTTTCTACCCGATTTAAGCAACTTTTTCACACTGTGTTTGGTTTTTTGTGATGCTCAACACAGCATAAAAGAAATAAAATGTATGCTCAATGAATTGCGAGAAATATTCTAATCCCAGAGTTCAACAGAAGAAGACTGCAAAGTAATCAGTCACAGAAGGAACCATGTGTGTAAACCAGTCAGATGGAGCCAAAGTACCAAATGCTTTCATTTCTGACAGTTTTTCCTGGGTTCTAGTTTGGACAGTTGAAGAGGCTGATATCTGAGTAGTGTGCTTGGATGTGTGATATTTTCACCTTAAGTAGACAGGGATGATAGAATCCCAGACCTGGAGGACGTGATGGAGATGAAAAATGAAATGAGGCCAATCTGATGCACACTTACATCCTCTGAGAGGCAACGAATGGAAAGGTGTTCTATGCTGGTAAATGTTGAACTGACACACAAGCATGTCCTCAAGATTTAAATCCCCCCTGCAGCGTCACAATCACACAATGATTCTCACTTTCTCAAGATCTAGATGCTCGCCCTTATTTAGTTCTTAAAGTTATAGTGGAGGATGTTCTTTTTCCGGCTGGATCATCAAAATAAACGGTCCTCGTAAATGTAATTCATTCTGGTGATATGTTTATGTAAGGCCATCCTACGTGCTCGTACCCATTTTCACTTACCGGTGGTGAGTCTGAAAGTGGAAAAATTGCAAATCTTCTTTTGGAAAGTAAGCTTGTATGAGCGATGCAAACAGCAACCTTTAAACAGAGCGTGCACAAGTAGAATGGGCTTTTGCATTCTCATGCACGCGTTTATGGGTGTTCCCTCTTGGAGGCGGGTGCAGGGTTGTGCATGTGCATTTTTTTTAAAGTGCAGAGGGTGGGTCTTCACAAAAATTCGTGAAAATCCTCCACCCTTCTTTTATTAAATCACTGCGTCAGTTACCACAACTATGCAGAAGACAACCAGGTAAACATTATGACATCACCAGGTGGCTATAAACTCACTGAGTCAATTACTAAATGCATAAAAAAAATCAATGAATGAATGTGCCAAAAGTTTCCTTAAAGCCTGGGCTACACTGTGCAATAATTCCACTCGTTGCTCACAGCCCCGCCTCAAACTGTGGTAACCAATCTGAGAGTTTAAAAGTTCATAGCTTGCGTTGTATGTTCTCACAGAGTACGAACTGATGTTCGGATGCGATCTGGCTGCTCACTTTGTACGTACTCAAAGACAGGTTGGGGTCTTGAACAATCCCAACATGCAGCACAATAAATAGAATTAGCTAGTAAAAGAAAAGGACAAAAAAAGGTTGCATGGATGCGTACAAAAATCATGCCAAAAATGTCTAAAAATCGCTGCGTATGCCGGGCTTTAATGTAATCAAAACACGACTTAAGTAACATGTTTTGGACCGAAAGGAGACTTTTCAAACATTAACGTAAAGCTTTGTTCAGAGGGAGTATTGGCCTAGTGGTTAGAACAGTGTGCTTGTGCTCTGAGAAGGTATCCGGTTCGATCCTTACAGCCTCGACTTTTGCTCCCTGAGCAAGACACTTAACCCCCTGATTGCTCTGCAGGCTCCGCACAGGGGCAGCCCACCGCTCCCCAAAGGGATGGGTTTAGATGCAGAACTGAATTTCTCCATTGTGAGCTTAATGATGTTGAATTGTTATTATTATTCAGTTAATCCAGCAACAGTAGAAACCAGCAATCAGGCTCTAAATCTGGGTCTAGTGATGGTCGCAGACCTGAAACTGAAACCTTTAGAGGCTCATAAAGATCGGACTGTTGCAGAATGCTGCTGCATAAATCCTCACTAAAACCAAGAAAGTGGAGCACAAGTCCTTCCACTGGCTCCCCTTATTTCAGAGGAAAGACTAAATATTTCTGTTAGTCTATAAATCATTGAATGGCTTGGATCCAAAATACTTTACAGACTTGTTTCAGTGGATCAACCATGCAGTCCGTTCAGATCTTCTGGCTCTAATCTACTCTACAGAAGCAGAACTAAAGAATAGCACGTTTTAATTATGTTCAACTTATCTGAAATAAATTCCCTCAAAACTGTAAAAGCACCAAAATCCTTTGTAAGAACATATTTTGGATTTGCATTTAGCAGTGTTATCTCAAAATGTTTAGTTAAGTTTTAGGTCTAAATTTAATTTCACCAATTTATCAGTCTATTTTTTAATATAATTGTCATATTTTGATTTTCCACGTTTATTATCTTTAACTAATTGTGTTACCTCTTTATCACTACAATACTTTGACTAAAATGTTCTACGTACTCGCTTTGGCTTCAAATATTTTTCAAGATCCCTTTTTATGTTTTAACTTTAACTGTAACATTAAGTCACAGAGAAACCAAAAGTTAGCGTCTACCTCGACACAACAAGAACCAATCAAACTGTCACACATTTTGTGAAATGTAACCTTTGAATTGTATGTATTTTATTGACAGTTCATGTTACAGACCATAGTTAAGTTGCATATAATTGTTAAGCAGGAGGAAAATCTATGTAGATTTAGCATTTAATTGTGAATATAGATCTAAAGAGTTAGTAGCTCTTAAATTCAGTTTCCTTTTGTTTTGATCCACCTAAATAAGCTTTAAGTGCCTTCTTCTTGTTAGTAAAGAGTTTCCTCTTGGATATAATTCAATCTCAGCTGTTCTATGAAGGACTTAGAGGTTTGTTACAGAACTTTATATGACAGATGGAACTAAATGCAAGAAGGAAAATCTGGCAGATGATTCAGGGGACTTGAGATTTGGGCAGAGATCGTCCTCCCAGCATCTCAGCACAACACAAAGTACCAACACTTCTTTTTCTATTACTCGGATTCGTCTCTTCTTATGAGCTTCATTTGAAGGTAAAATCTCACTCTGAAAAACCGGACTTCTTGTGGTTTTCTTCTTTTTTTCCCCCATTTTTGGATATTAAAATTACAGAGGCTCTGGCTGTCATAGAAAAGATTTACAACAGCTGTTACCTACTAAGTATTAATGCATAATGCAGCAGCCCTTGCTGATAGTAAAGTGTGTCGCGTGAACCGTCTGAGGCAATGTCACAAATGAAGTGCAGGCTTCCAGGTTCCAGCCGGTGGACAGAGGGATCCCACTGTGACCCAGATCCATTTTAAACGCCTCGCTCTGGGGAAGCTGACGGACAGATGCTGGCTACAGTGAGAGCCTGTCCTGTCATTCTGCTGGCAGCGTAGGGTATCATGTAAGCGTAGTGGGACAGATCACCTCATTTTGCCCTTGTGCAGAACTGTGCCTGGCAGAAAATCACACTTTAGCTTAAACAGTTACCGGTTATGAGAAAGGCATCAGAGTCAGAGTGGGACTTTCTGAACGGAGAGCTGAACGAATAAGTAAGAAAAACTAAAATGTTTGCAGGAGATACAATTATTTTTTTGACACTGTTGAATATCAGGTTTTTTCATTTGTTCTCTTTTTTTTTATATTCTTTTTTATTTCTCAGATCAAATCAGAACCCCCCCACGGTGACCAGTGAGAAATTGTTACAGTGGATGGAGATGAAAGATAAAGAACTTGCAGCCGTTTTCAGCAGGGGAAGGAGACCTTAATCATGTCTACTGTTTGACTTTAACATTAGATGGCCGCAAATTCCCAGTGAGATCAAATGGCACAAGGAAGCGGAGAGCCATCAGAACTCTGGACCATTGTGAAATCTGCTTTGTTGAAAAATA